GTTGGAGATCAGCACAGGCACCGGCCCGTACGGCGATCCGGTGCCGGCCGTGTGGCTGCGGCACGGAGATGTCGCTTACATCGAATCTGCGCAGGCCTGCGGTCTAGCGCTGTCCGAGCGGCGTGAACCGTTAGCCGCGACCTCGGTCGGGGTCGGGGAGTTGTTGAACGCTGCCGTGCAGTCGGGTGCGCGTCGATGCGTCGTTGGTCTGGGCGGCAGTGCTACCAACGATGCGGGAGCGGGATTCCTGCACGCGCTCGGAGCGACTGGCGATCGCCCGTTAGACCGCGGTCCTGCTGCGTTCGACGGCATAACGACCTGCGATCTAACAGCTGTACGACAACGGCTTAACGGCGTTGAGCTCACGATCGCCAGTGATGTGGAGTCGGTGTTGCTGGGTATGTTCGGGGCATCGAAAACATTCGGTCTGCAGAAGGGCCTGAGTGATGACGAGATCATTCGCGTCGACGCGATCTTGGATAACTTTGTCAATGCCGTGTGCGGACGTACACCGTCGCAGCGTGCTGTCGCCGATGCGCGTGGAGCTGGTGCGGCTGGGGGACTGGGCTTTGCGATGCTGGCGCTGGGAGCACAGTTCACGTCTGGAATCGACTTGATTGCCGAAGCCACCGGACTGGTGGAGGCAATGGCGGTCGCCGATCTGGTGGTCACCGGTGAAGGTAAATACGACTTCAGTTCGCGGGCCGGCAAGGTGGTTTACGGGGTGGCCCGGAATGCGGCGAGCGTGGCTCGTCCGTGCATCGTACTGGCCGGCAAGGTGGACGTGGGAGCACGTGAAATGCGTGCGATGGGAGTTCAGAGCGCGTACTCGATGACCGACATTGTCGGTGAGGATGCGTCGGTGACGGCAGCGGCCGACTCGCTGAGGCGGCTCGCGGCGCGGGTTGCGCGAACGTGGTCGCGATAGGCGGCGTAGCATGGAATATGGTCGACCTATCAGCAGTTGGACTCGATACGGCGTCTGTGACGCACCACTTCAGCATCAATGGGAGCATCAATGACCGCTTC